TTGGAGGCTTCCACGCCCCCTGTCTGGGAGTTATGGGAGGCAATAAGAAAATCTGCAGAGCTCACCATGTCCTTCATCAAGCCCTGAGGTCCTTAGGCGACCACCATCTTTCAGAGCCCTCCTATGTTTAACTGTTATGCCCAGGACTTTTCAGCTGTAAGGGAGAGGATCTGTAAGGAATGGGCTGCTCTGTCTTCATCGAGCAGCCTTTTATGTTAATTCTGGGAAGCACTCCTTGGGCATTTAGTTGCAGCTTTTTGATGTCACTGAGTACAAGCTCAGCACTGTTAAGTCTCTGTTTTGACTCATATCTCTTAGTCTAAAGTGACTTTATGCTCCTTCCAGTGAATTATATACTTTTTTAAAAGATATTTTGACTCCTGTATTCTTTGTTCTGTTGCTTTTAACCATTTTAGCTTATTTTGTTTATCTCTTATGACTACATTTTGTTTTTTAGTCCCACCTAAAGATTTGATCTTTTATTAGTGAATTTGCCCCAACTTCATTTATTGTTATGACTGATTTGGGTTGTCCTCTGTCAACTTGTTTTATTCTTGCTAATGGAATTTCGGGAGAGGAATTTCAGCTCTCGTTCTTGCCCCTTCCCTAAATCATGCTGTGACTACAATTTCACACTACGGTTGTGAATGTCACACTGTGGCTGAGCAGCTTCCTTCCATGGAAGACTGAGTGACTGAAGAGTAGCCAGTTGTTCATAGTTTGTTAAAAAATCTGCTTTGATGTGTGTAATACTTTGTGTTCCCACCTTTAACCTTGCCATCTGGGGGTAGTTTAGATTCCAAGAACATAACTCGTCTGATATGAAAGGTGTGAATTCAGGATAGAGTTGTTCCTGTTGTTCTGCATCAAGGTGACATCAGTAAGCCTTTACTTACGTTACTCTAATAACCTTTTCTTTCAGATAAGGATTTTAACTATACGGACCCAGAATTTCTTGATGGATTTTCAAAATATGGATTTAATACCATTATCAGTAGAAGTGTGGGCTTTGAGAGAGATGTACCAGATACCAGGCATAAAATGTATGTTCCTTCTACCTATATAGATATGTATTTAAAAAACAAGTTACTAACCAGATTTTAATTTTAGCAAATTAGGAGTCTTATAATACAGATTCTTATTTTTAGAGCTTGAAGTCAGATAATGTCAAGATGACATTTCAAGATTCCAGTGCTCATAGTGTAGAGAATATCTTCTCCATTGGCACGGAGTGTGCTCTGGAGGGCTCCGAGAATTGAGTCACGCACAGATCTTTTCATTAAATCACCAAGAAGGGGTTCTGGCCAAAAGGGGATTCATTCCTGATATAAAATGCCTTGGACAGATACCTATTTTTTCCTTCAAAGTCTGCTTTTTTGAAATTGTTCCTTCAATCATTTGTGTTAATGCATCTTTTAAAAATTTGTGGTAAAATACATATAACATAAAAGTTACCATTTTAGCCACTTTTAAATGTACCACTTAGTGATATTAAGTACATTCACATTGTTGTACAAGCGTCAATACCCTCCATCCCCAGCACTTTTTCGTCACCCCAAACGGAGGCCCGGCTTCCATTAAACAACTTCCCATCTCCTCCTCCTCCCAGTCCTGACAACCACCGTTCTACTCTGGGTCTCCATGAATTTGACAACTCTAGGTATCTCATGTAAGTAGAATCATACAGTATTTGTCTTTTTCACAGCTGGCTTATTTATTTCACGCAGCATAAGGTCCTCAAGGCTCATCCATGTCACAGCATGTATGTGTTAATGCCTTTTCAATATCTGTTAGGTTCTGATGGTTTCAGGTAAAAAGGGATGATATTCTGCTTTAACCAAAAGAGAAGTACTTAAGGAATACAGATATCTTCCACTGAAATAGACAAAGGCCAAGTTCCAGGAAACAGGAGCAAGTGGGGCACTTTGCTTCATTGCAATTTGTGTGCAACACGAACATTTGAAGCTGCAAATATCACTCATGATATAGCACACTCAAGAGATGTAGTGATTGTACATAATTACACATGATCTATCTGGATCATAACAGAAGAAAAAATTTAAATTTACTCAAACCATACAACATGACATGAATTTCATTTAGAGGACAATGTTTTACTCAACTGAATATTTAACTGCCACAAAGGAAGGTCAATATTTTTGAATGCCTTCAGGTTATGAATTTCTCTATGTGCCACAATTTCTTCCCTCTAAGTCTCATTTTCTAAAATAGTGTGGCTGCCTTTGTTTCCGTTCCCCACAACACATGATTATTTGTTAGGAAAAACAGAAAGTTTAGAGATATTTGTCCAAAAAGGGAAGTAGACTTGGCTGTTTAATATTAAAAATATTAACTAGTTTAATTGGAAATTTAATTCTGTACAAAGAACACTATTATGTTTATAATACATTTTAACTGCTAAGTGTAGCTACTACTGTCTTGGGTCAAGCAGATTTTCAGCCATTGTCATAGTAACCATATTATTTCATTAAATGGAATTTCCATTTCAGGATTGCCTTTGTTTTTTAATTTAGTTTTTATTTTTTAATCAAAAATTAAAATCGTATATATTTATGATATACAACATGATGTTTTAGTATATGTATACATTGTGGAATGGCTAAATCAAGCTAATTAACATATGCATTACCTCACATACTTACCATTTTTTGTGCTAAGAGCACTTAAAATCTATTCTCTTAGCAATTTTCAAGTATATGCTATATTGTTATTTTAGGTTTCACAATGAGTGGGATCATGTGGTATCTGTCTTTCTGTGCCTGGCTTATTTCACTTAACATAATGTCCTTCAAGTTCACCCATGTTGTTGCAAATGACAAGATTTCCTTCTTTTTTTAAGGCTGAATAGTATTTCATTGTGTACATGTACTACATTTTCTTTATCCCTCAGCCATCGATGGACACGTAGGTTGATTCTGTATATTGGCTATTGTGAAAAATGCTGCAATGAACATGAGAGTGCAGATATCCCTTCAACATACTGAGTTCATATCCTGTGGATATATACCTAGAAGTGGGATTGCTGGGTCATACTGTTTTTCATAATGGCTGTGTTAATTATATTCCCACCAACAGTGTGCAAGGATTCCCTTTTCTCTGCATCCTTGACAATACTTGTTATCTTTTGTCTTTTTGATAATAGCCATTCTAACAGGTGTGAGGTGGTATGTCATTGTTTTAATTTGCATTTCCCTGATGATTAGTGATGGTGATCATTTTTTCATGTACCTATTGGCCATTTGTATGTCTTCTTTTGAAAAATGTCTGTTCAGGTCCTTTGCTGATTTTTTGATCAGGTTATTTGTTTTCTTACTATTGAGTTGTTTGAGTTCCTTGTATATTTTGGGTATTAACCTTTTGTCAGATGTATGGTTTGCAAATATTTTCTCCCATTTCGTAGGTTGTCTTTTCACTCTGTTGATTGTTTCCTTTGCTGTGCAGAAGCTTTTTATTTGATGAAATCCCATTTGTCTATTTTTGTTTTTATTCCCTGTGCTTTTGGGGTCATATCAAAAAAATCGTTGCCCAGACCAATGTCATGGAGTTTTCCCCCATGTGTTCTTCTAATAGTTTTACAGTTTCAAGTCTTATGTTTAAGTTTGTAATCCATTTTGAGTGATTTTTATATATGCTGTAAGATGAGGGTCTAATTTCATTCTTATGCATGTGGATATCCAGTTCTCCCAGTACCATTTGTTGAAGAGACTGTCATTTCCCCGTAATATGTTCTTGGCATTGAAAATCAATTGACCATAAATGCATGGATTTATTTCTGGCCTCTCTATTCTGTTCCATTGGTCTATGTACCTGTTTTTATGCCAGTACTATGCTGGGATTTTTAAAAAATGTTTTTTCTTTTTGTTTCCATGCACAGCATTGACAGTACTTGCTATTTTGGTTACTATTAATACTATAGGTTTGTAGCAGATTTTGAAATCAGGTGGTGTGATGCCTTTTGCTTTGTTCATTTTGCTCAAGGTTGCTTTGGCTATTTAGGGTCTTTTGTGGTTCTATATGAATTTTTTGGATTGTGTTTTCTATGTCTTTGAAGAATGATATTGGAATTTTGATAGAAATTACATTGAATCTGTAGATCACTTTGGGTAGTATGGACATTTAAACAATATTAAATCTTCTAATCTGTGAACATGTGGTATCTTTTCATTTGTGTCTTCTTCAATTCCTTTCATCAATGTTTTATAGTTGTCAGTGTACAGATCTTTTACCTCCTTGTTTAAATTTTTTCCTAAGGGTTTTTTTTTTTTAAGCTATTGTTAATGGGATTGTTTTTTTTCTTGATTTTTTTTTTGATAGTTTGTTGTTAATGTATAGAAAAACTGACTTTTTATGTTGGCTTTATATCCTACAACATAACCAGATTTGTTTATTAGTTCTAACAGTTTTTTGTGGAGTGTATAGGGTTTTCTATATATAAGATCATGTCATCTGGAAACAGAGACAACTTATTCCTTTCTGATTTGAATACCTTTTATTTTTTTCTCTTACCTAATTGCTCTGGCTAGGAATTTCAGTATTATGTCCAACAGAAGTGGCAAGAATAGGTATCCTTGTCTTGTTCCTTTTCTTAGAGGAAAAGTTTTCAACTTTTTGCCATTGATCATGATGTTAGCTGTGGATTTGTCATATACGGCCTTGATTGTGTTGCGGTACATTCCTTTTATACCTAATTTGTTGAGGGTTTTTAATCACAAAATGATATTGAATTTTGTCAAATCCTTTTTCTGCATCTATTGAGACGATGATGTGGTTTTTTTTTTTCTCTTTTTTTTGAGACAGAGTCTCACTTTGTTGCCCAGGCTAGAGTGCTGTGGTGTCAGCCTAGCTCACAGCAACCTCAAACTCCTGGGCTCAAGCAATCCTACTGCCTCAGCCTCCCAAGTAAGTGGGACTACAGGCATGTGCCACCATGCCCGGCTAATTTTTTTTCTATATATTTTTAGTTTCCAGCTAATTTCTTTCTATATTTTTAGTAGAGACAAGGTCTTGTTCTTGCTCAGGCTGGTCTCGAACTCCTGAGCTCAAACGATCCACCCGGCTCGGCCTCCCAGAGTGCTAGGATTACAGACATGAGCCACCGCGCCCGGCCAATGATGTGGTTTTTGTCCTTCATTCTCAGAGTGTGGTGTTCCATATTTATTGATCTGGTCATGTTGAATCATTCTTGCATCCTGGGGAAAAATTCTACTTGGTCATGGTGAATGATCTTTTTAATGTGTTGTTGAATTTGGTTTGTTAGTATTTTCTTGAGGATTTTTGCATCTGTATTCCTCAAAGATATTGGCCTATAATTTTCTTCTCTTGTAGTGTCCTTGTCTGGTTTTTGTATCAGGGTAATGCTGGCCTCATAAAATGAGTTTGAAAGTATTCTCTCCTCTTCAATTTTTTGGAAAAGTTTGAGGAGAATTCATATGAGTTCTTTAAATTTTTGATAGAATTCAGCAGTGAAGTCATCCAGTCCTGGGCTTTTCTTTTTGATGGGGTATGTTTATTACTGATTCAATCTCCCTACTCATTATTGGTCTCTTCGTATTTTCAGTTTCTTAATGATTCAGTCTTGGTAGGTTGTATGTTTCTAGAAATTTACCTATTTCTTCTAGGTTATCTAATTTGTCAGCATATAATTGTTTCTAGTATTTTATGATCCTTTGTATTTCTGTGGTATCAATTGTTATGTCTCTTTAATTTATGATTTTATTTATTTGAGACTTCTTTTAGTTTTTTTTTATTTCAGCATATTATGGGGGTACAGATGTTTAGGTTATGTATGTTGCCCTTGCCCCCCTCTTTTTAGTTTTTTATTTTTAATTTTTATGGGTACATAACAGTTATACATATTTGTGGGGTATTTAGGCTATTTTTGATACAAAGATATAATACGATGTGTAATGATCAAATCAGGGTCATTGGGATATCCATCACCTCAAACATTTATTATTTCTTTGTGCTGGGAACATTCCAAATACACTCCTTTAATTATTTTAAACTATACAATAAATTATTGTTACCTATAATCACCCTATCATGCTACCAAGCACTAGATGCCGACAAGGATGTGGAGAAAGGGGAACACTTGTACACGGTGGGAATTTAAGTTAGTATAGCCACATGGAAAACAATATGAAGGTTGTCATTGTAATGGTGCCCCTGCCCATTGTAAATGATTGCCCTTCTCACTCAGTGTGGCCTGAGGACCAGCAGCCCCTGGGAGCTTGTTAGCCACATAGAACCCCCGGGCCCCACCCCAGAGCTATTCAATTAAAATATGCATCTAGCAAGACCCCAGGTGATATTTATGCATGTTAAAGTTTTATATCCTTATATTGGTTTGATAGGGCTGCTATAACAAAGTATCATAAACTTTGTGGCTTAAACAACAAAAATTTATTCTCTCATAGTTTTGGAGACCAGAAGCCTGAAATGAAGGTGTTGGCAGGATTGATTCCTTCCAAGGGCTGTAAAGGAAGGATCTGTTCCAGACTCTCTCCTTGGCTCGTAGATGGCCGTCTGCTCCCTGTGTCACTTCAGATCACCTTCCCTCTGTGCGAATGTGTCTCTGTGTCCAAAGTTCCCCCTTTTATAAGGACACCAGTCATACTGGACTAGGGCCCACCCTAATGACCTCATTTTAACTTGATTACCTCTTTAAAGACCCTGTCTTAAAATAAGGTCACATTCTGAGGTACTGGGGCTTAGGACTTCACTGTACGAATTTTGGAGGATGCCATTCAACCCATAACAGTCCTGCTTCGTATTATACTATTGTTAATTTATATGATCAGAAAAGAATAGATTGGCTCACTGAGGATGACCAAACCCAGGCCTCGTCCACATTATTTTTATCCTTAAAAATAGCTCATTTAAGTCGGAAAAGTTTTTCTAGATAGAAATACCACAGCAACATTTATTGATGAAGTTAGAAAATCCCACACAACCAGGCTCTCTCAGAGGTCTGAAGAGTCCTCATGTGGCATGGTTTTAGGCTCTGCCACCTTCATCAGAGAGAAGGGACTCCACTTATTTCTAGGTTTCTTAAAACAATACACCCAGGACTGAATATCAAAGATGTGTTTAAAGCAGCACAAGTCACCCTGAACCACCCCTACCTCTCTCATTCTTGGTGTTATCCTTCCATTAATTCAGCCTAGCACCATCATATTCTCTCTCCCTCTACTACTTCCTTTCTCATAACTCAATGATCTTACTGGAATCTGAGCCTTTCAATCACTTTTCCATGTTTCTGCACAGCCATATGTTCCCGCTGAATGTTGCAGACCCGTGTGCAGGATATCACGTGTACCCCTCACTCCCATTCTGGTCTTTTCCTGGTTCTGTATCTCACACAGTCAGCTTCCACTTAGTAGGCATGCCTTCTGTATCTTCATCTAGTCTTGGATAAAGACGTTGAGCAGGACAAGGCCCTCTCCTTTCACAATGACTTCAACTCGTGCATATCCTGAAGGCATTGTCCAGGATTCCTGCAGGATTGCCTTCCCTGCACTCCTTTCCTAGCGCTTTCCAGGAAACGCTCCCCTTTTCACATGATTGCAGTGGGAACAATGATTTTATATTTTGATCCTACTTTTGGCCCCAGTTGCTGAGCCCAGGGATGGGCACCTGGACCAGGCTGGGCCAATGAATTTTTTCCTGTAAATTTTTGGTCTTGAGAAAGAGAAAATCCTATCAGTTTCTCCCTGGGTGCTGGACTATAAGCTATGCTGATATCAAGCACATTTACCATTCTGTGGAGATAAAGAAGTGGAAACGAGCCCAGTTGCAGAGAAAGAATAATAATCATAGTGAGCCTTGTATATTAATACTTCTATATGCCAGGCCCTGTTCTGAGCATCACACACATGCTGATTCATTGAACCCTCACACCCCTGTGAGGTAGGTTGATGTTGCTATTATTATTATCATTATATCATTCTCGGATGTAAAGATAAGAGCAGAGATGCAGAGAGTGTCCAGATGTCACTCAAGCACCTGGTTCCAATAGCTCTTTGAGGCTCCGGCTGCATTCCTGTAACAAGGTCCTGTGAGACATTTGGGTCACCTTACAATATACCTCCCTTTCTTTTGTTTAAGTTAGCTCTAGTAGGTTTCTGAAATTTACAACCAAAATATTACAAAATACAACCAAATAATATAGCAATCCAAACTGTAATTAACAGTTAGTAACTAATATTACTGGAATTCAGC